TTAAATAATGTCCACTGCAGAAATTGTTGAAGTGGTTTGCTCAACTACTATTGGCTGTTGAGTATCTGCATTCCAATTTTGTTCTTCACCGGGATCTAAAAGTAGGCATCTTATTGTGATGATTTTCTTTATTATAATTTAACGGTTTACGTATTATCTTAAAGATTCATCGAGGCTGATTTTTTTAGCGGTTCTTGGCAGTGCTCGAATATCTTTGTTACAAAAGATCAAGATGTTCACCTTGGTAATTAAGCTTGACCCGAATTTCTTGTGTTGAATTCAGAACTATATAATAGCAAGCTTATTCTACGTGTGCCTCTTTGTTAAACTTTCCCCTTGAGCAGGTGATTTTGGACTTGCTAAAACTTTGAAGGCAGATGATTTGGCTTCTTCGGTATGTGCTTAATATGTATAAAATCCATTTAATCTTGTGAAACTAATTAGTTAAGTATCGTTAAAGAAACAGAGAATTATATTTGTGCTTATGTTTTCCTTGGTCACTTGGTTGGAACCTCACTGGACACATCTTAGTGTTATCTGCTTATTATATATTTCAAAAGGGAATTTAAAGTACTTAATTATCAATTATATTCTTGGCAGTATTAAAATTTCTGATTATGCAGTGTGTGATGGGTTATCAAGAAAAATGAAAACTTATTATACAGTCATCAATTAGGATCGAATTCAAAGATACTCTGAATACTTCTTTTGAGCTAAAAGATTTTTGAAGCATCCGGATAGAGCCTGGAGAATGGTTGATTTCATTAACGTATATTCAAGACAATTCAGAAGTCAAAATTTGGTGTTTCGTAAGTACTTTGATAGGTCCTAAAAATACGGGAAAATAAATAAACTGAAAGAAAGAGAAAACAAAATCGGTATTTAGCTGAAATCTCTTGCTTCTATCTTATTTCACCTTAGATTGCAAAATCTTTATGTGATTTTTCTTTAGAGTTTTCAAAGAGAAACTAACAAACTATGATGTCGGTTGAAATTACATTTAATTTTGCATTATATTGTTCAAAGATGCAAGGTTTGCTAAATCTAACTAGTCATCTTCCTGTTTCGTACAGGTAGTTGGAACTCCTAATTACATGTGTCCTGAACTTCTTGCTGATATTCCTTATGGATTTAAGTCAGATATTTGGTCTCTCGGTATGCCCATGTTATTTTTTCTGCTTTTTGACCAGTGGAATTAGGAAGATCTATTATATAATGTTTCAATTTTCAATCAGGATGCTGTATGTATGAAATGGCTGCTCACCGCCCTGCATTCAAGGCTTTTGTAAGGATTCGATTCCTTAGTTTTGCTTAATAACATTGTCTGTCTTTAATGCTTTCCGGATTTATTTCTGTGTGAACTGTAGTGATATAGAGAATGAAAGTACCACTTTTATGCCTTGATATTCTGCCCTATATTTTGCTTTTTTCACAAAATTTAAGAGCTGGTTAAATTTCAGGACATGGCAGGATTAATAAGCAAGATAAATAGATCATCTATGGGGCCTTTGCCCCCTTGTTACTCCCCATCCTTGTAAGTGAAAATTTTCTTTTGCTAGTTTATTATGCGCCTTAATTCTAAATCAAGGTGAGATTTTGTGAACATGTCTACAATCTGTACCATCATCTTTTCATGAGTTTACATATTCTCTGGGCTTCATTTCACCTAGAATGATCTACTTTCTTTTTGAGAATATTGAGAGTCATTACATTTTTCACCCAACAGGAAGTCTCTAATCAAAAGCATGCTAAGGAAAAACCCCCAACACCGGTTAAGTGTAAGGAACACATCCAAGCTATTCAAAAAATCCTTATAATCATCTTTATTTAATTAAACAATTCTTTTTGTCATCTGTGTTTGTTAGGCATCCGAACTGCTTAAGAACCCGTATCTAAAGCCCTACATTGACCAATACCGTCCAGTTATCAATTCACCTGAAAAACCATTTTCCGCATCTCGTGAGAGCAGCAACAGTTCGTGCAGTGACAGGGACAGCATGGTAATAATGCCGAACGACTCCAAAACTGCAAACTGCAATCATCATAACAAAACCACCACCGATGAAGATTCAGCTTCCATTAATGGTGAAGAAAACGATCATGATGATGCCGGGAGACCAGTTCATGAAGATTCAGGATATAACAACAGAATAAAGCAGCAGCCCAAGACAATAAAGAACATCGTGATTGCTGTGAAAGACGGGAAAAATAGAGAGAATAGTTCTCCCGTGAGAACCCACCATGCTAAAAGTGGCGTTGTTAACAATCAAAGAATAATTGTGAACTCAGAGTTTGTTAAGAGAATGCAGGGATCGCCTTCTTTGAAGCACCAGGTAAGAATAATACTCTTGGGTTTAGCCTCTTTTTTCCCAACTTGCTTGGGACTAAAAGGCTATGTTGTTGTTGTTGTTGTTTAGCCTCTTTCCCCACCCCCCCTTAAAGCATTCTATTTTCGAATTACAAATGCGCGGTTTTATTGCTTATGTTTTTCAAGTTGCACCTTTTTCAGGGGCTATATATGTAAATAAATTGAAATCTTTTGAGGTGTACAAGTGCTACAGGTTTGATGGGCCAACATATTATTTTGGAGTGGTTTTTGTGACTGATTGAGCCCATCAATAGTTTTTATGTTTGTTTCTAAGCTGATTTTGCCACCTCTAAGTAGTATGCATATATATATAGATGACTGGGCATTTTGTAATTAAGCTACAGACCCTCTTTTTATCCTTTTCTTGGACTTTCTGCAATTCACATTTTGTTCACAACAATGCATGTCTATGTGTAGTTACCCATCAGGGAAACCCCTCCAAAGACCAAAGCTAGACACGAAGGGATTCCCCCAATGGGCCCCACAAGGCCCATCACTGAAGATGGATTTCCAACAAGGCCCAGACAGAAAACCCATCATTCGTCATGCAGTAGTTCACAGATAACAAGGGAAGTCATGCAGCATTCAAAAAGTCATCCGAAGAGGATTCAAACGGAAAGCAGCAACTCGGCATCTTCCTCCATATCTATCCAAGAGTTGGGCCTCTGTGATGATGCAGCCACTCCTTTTGTAATGCTCTCATCTTCTCCTGGAAGCACAGAAATTTGTGAAACTAAGCAGCGAGAAACTGAAGTTGAAATTAAAGACAACAGGCTCGGCTGCTCAACCCCCTCTTCTCACTCGGAAAGACCCGAAAATGAAAGACTGGAAAAAAATTTGCCGCAAGTATTTTCTGTGAAATCGATAAATGTGGTACAAGAGGCAAAAAATCCTCCCGAAAACCCCATCACAAAGGAAATAGACATGAAGGCCTCAAATCCTTCAGTGCAGATGGATGAGAGGTCGATTTCATCTGAACCGGTAAAGGAAACTTTGGACGTGAATTCGTGTAGACAGAGGGCAGAAGCATTGGAGGGGCTTTTGGAGCTTTCAGCAGACTTGCTGCAGCACAACAGGCTGGAGGAGCTTGCGGTGGTCTTGAAGCCTTTTGGGAGGGAAAAGGTGTCGCCTAGGGATACTGCCATCTGGCTTGCCAAAAGTCTCAAAGGGATGATGCTTCAAGAAGCCACCCGAAATTCTTGAGTAATTGTTTTTACGTTTTTTTATTTTCTTGATCGTTTTAGTTGATGTTCGTGGTGTGATGACATATAATTGAGGGAATATTTTGGTTTCACGTTTTCTTTTCTCTTTTTGCATTTTTGGGTAATCGTTCTTTGATTTTCGGCAATGCACATGCATCCTGTGTGTATAATGATATAGCTTCGTCTCTTCTTCCACTCATCTAGCCAAATTATGAACTTCTTGGTGTGGTTGATTGTCGAAAATGCTCACCTACTCATTGAGGTACATCTTAGCTCATGTCTTCTCACATCTGATCGGTGTATTAACTCATGTACAGAGTCTCAGGAGAGCAGGACTGGGTTGATTGTTGACAAAGCACTTGTGCTTCATTCTGAATAATTTTTGTTTGAAGTTTTCTTGTGGCTGTTAACGTTGAAAATTTCTCTAATCTCAGGTTTTATCAAGTTACTTCAGTCTGAAACTAGAAATTCAGCTCAAATGGTTGACGGAAATACAAATTATACAATGAGGATTTCGTTAGAGGCACCAAAAAATAAGGTTAAAAAAATACATTTTATTTAATTACTAAAATGTCCTTAAACTTATTAAGAAAACAAGATTATGAAATATATTGTATTATTTTATTTTGAAGGAGTTAATTATCAATATATTATGTAGAAAATTCAGAGAAAAAAAATAAAAATAAAAAAAAGGCAAAAGATGACTCCTAAAATTGAAGATTCGATTGAACTAAAAACATCAAATTCATTAAAAAGTATTATTGCCATGAAAAGAAGAACCAACTGAAAGTTCACCCATCAAGTTTGGACAACCGAGCCGTCAACAGTTGATTTCTTCATTCTGCCGTCGCGCGCTCCTGAATATTTGGTAACTTCGTCGGTGCTTTAGCTCAAATAATATAATTTCTAATTATTTGATGCAAATAATATTTAAAATCATCTTCAGTCTTTTCGATATAATGTCTGAAAAAAAAAATCTAAAAAAATAATAATAGAACTAATACAATAATTCTTTCACTTGATTTCCAGCCCCAAATTAAAATTTCTCAACGCCTAAAATGAAGATTTTCCATTAGAATTTTTATTTTCATATAACAATTCTTAATTGAGTGACTCATCATAAAAATAAAAAAAATGGATATCATTCATGTTCCTTCATGTTTAATTTATAATATCATCATTGTCTGTTGCTCCATGTTTAATTGAGTGTCACTCTCCAAGATCAATCCAAGATATTCAAGTGTTTTTGGATGAAAACTGATAAAAAATATTTTGGATGTGTTTTCCTAGGGTTGAGAACAGGTCCCAATGGAAAGGTGTTCAAAAACCGAGCAAAACGAGATTTTATAATGTATGGTTGCGCGTGGATCACGGCGCAAGCCCTGCCGTGCTGCGACGGGTCAACCTGGGCAGGGCAGCTCTCTGTTCAGTCGGCTATTGGCACGCCTCGGGGCTTGGGTGCGGGCTGCTATGCGCGACTTTACGTTTCAAGCTCGTTTGAGCTTGTCCGAACTCGAAATTGAGTACCGTTTTTTTCTTACGCGTAACCCCTTGAGAGTTATATCATGCAAAAGTCTTCATCTAAGTGGGTCTTTGTCTTGCTCCGGTGATGGTTCCCAACATAAATATTCGATCCCATTTTTCCTCCAAGGGCAGTGGAGTTCCCACGGGTCGCGGGATCTCGGTGGCACGTCATGGGCTGAAACTTTTGGATCGATAACTAGGAAAGGTGTATTCAAGTCTCGATCAGAACTACCTGCCCTCCTACAACCAAAAACACAGAAAACACACAAAAACAGAGAAAACAAAAGAATACACTGAAAAAAAACCAAAAATAAATGAAAACACNATTTTTTATATTTTGGCTCCAAATTTATAAATTTGATTTTGCATAACCGAAATTAATAGTTGATTATTGTTTATATTCCAATTTGGTAAGTTTTGTTTTCAAATCCAATTAATATATAACTTGATTGATTTTTTTTTTAGAAACGACAAAATATACTAATAAAACACAAATTTACAAGCGGCCAACTTGCCGAAAGAAATAATCAAAGGCTGAAAATAGAGAGTACAAGTGTAGACGACTGTAAGACTAAACAAGACCAAACAACTAGCAATACTAGAATACAAGACTCCCACTAGTGGAGAATGCTAAGTCCCAGACGAGAGAAAAGAAACACTGACACAAAACAACACAAACTCACAAACCTAAATACACTCAACACCCTAGATACTAGACTAAAGTCCTCCTCCCCGGACAGGAACGCCCAACACCTCCATAACCCAAGCAAAACAGCTAACGAGATCCACCAAGGAAAAGTCGCACGGCCCACGGCCCAGCACAACCTCCCCAACAAACCACACACTTGACCCGGCCAGACCGTACCACAGCCCCCCACGCGCACACCAGAATCACGACACCATTGCACTGTCGCCTCCGGAGGAAATGGCATTCCCAACACCAGAGAAGGCCAATAAGGGGAAACCAAAGTTTAGTCCACCGTCTTCACTGCCGTATGGCCGCAAGTAGCGACCGTCTGCCAAAAACCACCCGAACCTTCCAGACCTTGACTTTCCACCATGACAAATCGAAAAGGGTCAAAATTCACATGAAAGAGATACCCAAAAACAATAAGAGCAATGTCGATGGCCCTAGACAAATTAGACGTTGTCGGCATCGCCGGAAGCGGGTGCCACGGGAGATGTGGCCCGCGTAGACAGTTGGGAAAAAAAATGGGAGGGTTTCGTTTTTCGGGGAATTGGGTATACACTAGAATTCAGCAGGGGTAAAACTGTAATTCAAGAAGTTTCTGCCATACCCATACCCGCCTCCGTCAATATCACAGAGATAAAACATCTACTTTTGTAAGAAAATAGTTGACAGAATAAACCCCCCAAAAAAACAACAAGGAAAATACATATTCCGTTTCACTTTCACCCAAGAAAGAGATATTGATGGGTCGGCGTCAGAGATAAAGCGAAAGACAAATTTCATCAATTTGATGATCAGTGAGAGCCTCACCGCGCCAATAACTAAACCCTATCTCTGTCTCCCTCTTCCTTCTCTCGCACACGCACGAACACTCGCAAAGTCCGTGTGAACTTCGTTGATTTTCCGACGCGACCACCGCCGGAATCCCCGCCGGGATGTCAAACACGGAAGACCCGAACCGCCCCGTCACGGGCTACCCTGCCCCGCCCAACGCCCAAACCAACGGCTACCCACCTCATCCGGCTACGGGCCCCGCCGCCTACCCCTACGCCGCCGGCCCGCCGCCGTCAAACCCCTATTACAACTACCCGAGCAACCCTTACTACCCTCAGGGCTACCAGTACGACCCGGAGTCCGCCCAACGCGCCACCTGCCTCCGCCGCATCTTCGCCTTCGTGATCGGCCTCGTCGTCATCCTGGGCACCATCACCTTCATCGTCTGGCTCGTCCTCCGCCCCCAGCTCCCCGAGTTCCGAGTCGACTCGTTCTCGATCTCCAATTTCACACTCGGCAACAACTCGCTGGTCTCCTTCACCTCCGAGATCCGCCTTACCGCGCGGAACCCTAACAAGAAGATGAGGCTCGCGTACGACCACATCGTGGCCGAGATCTTCTACAAGTCGGAGTCTCTGTCGGAGACGACGGTCCCGCCGTTCTGGCAGGACACGAGGAACGAGACCTCCTTGACTGCCAATTTCGCGGCGGCGGGGAGCTTCGTGGAGCGGCCGGTGGCGGACGAGATGAACAGCGACAGATCTAGGAGTGGGAACGTGAATTTCAATCTGAGGATGCTTTCTAGGGTTAAGTTCGAGGCCAAGGCTTGGAGAACCAGGAGAAGGTTTCTGAAAGTGTTCTGTGGAGATTTGATTGTGGGGATTCCGAGCAATGGGAGGCCGGGGGTTTTGATCGGCCGCCCACAACAGTGCCGTGTAGGGATTTGAGGTGATATTTTTAGAATTGTTTCTTTCCCTATTTTTTTTTTGGTAATATTATTTATTAGGTCGTATCTGCTGGATTTTGCTGTGTTGTTTAATTTTAATGTTGAATGATGGGTATAAGAATATGAATAGACTCTATTGACTTGATTTACAGGGAATCTGATTTGCTTGGATTGATCTACTTGGTGTACAGTTAAAACTCTCTCTGCTGTTCATTTTTTCCAATCTTGTGGTTAATCGTATTTCCTATTCTAAATGTTGGGTCTTTCCGATTGTAATGTTTGTGAGATTGTCTTGTTCTTATTGATATTGTTTAGTTCTTAGTTTTGAGATTGTTTAGTTCTTAGTTCTGAGATTGTTTAGTTCTTAGTTCTTAATTTTGATCATTGATGCCTGAGCTGGTGAAACTTGAAAACCGTTTGAAATGCTGCCGATAGCAGCAAAGCTTGAATAATGGACCGATTAGTGTTGAACTAATAAACAGAAGGAACCTCGAAAGTGATGTACTCTTTGTATAGTTTACTGTTCATTTTTTATTTTTGGTTATTGTATTTTCCCTGAATTATTTTGCTGTATGAGTAACTATTTATAGGTCAGTGGTTGCCAATGGCAAAATGGTGGTGGCACGTTATATTTGAAACTATATGATTGAATTACTTAGAATAATATCGCCCTTATTTAGCCTTCTATTAGTCGTCCATAGAAAACTTAGCTGGTTTCTGAAACATGAATCTTGTTAGGGCTTGCTTGTAATACTGCCTTGTGGTTTATGTTCATATTTAGAGTAATGTCTGCAATTTTATGCCCTTAACCTTAAGTTGATGATAATGAAGGACGGCAATATTAAAGTAAAATGACTAGGAACTCTAATTTGGACCTAAAACTTTCAAGCAAGGTAACCTTTCGGTGATGTCATATAAGGCAACCATGTATACAATGTGAAGGGAGGACCTCCATAATTTTGAGATTATGAATTTGCGTTATCCTCCTTCATCAACTCATTGATTGACTGAGTTACTTGCATTATACCCCTAAAAATTAATGAGCTTGGTATGAATGTATATTTCATCATTCTTGGTTGTTAGTTAGAGATATTTCATCATCCTTCATCAACTCAGGATGGTGTGGAAGTCAAGTGGCTTTATTAGGCTAAACTGTTTCTTTGCCTTTTTAAATTAGGATAAGCAGGATCTGACCTCTACGCTTATGGTCAAATCATTCATTATTGTTTATTGTCCAAGCTTTGATTTGCTGTGTTACTTGTTCGATGATTCATAGTTTTAATGAGCTATTGCATGGTCATAATGCTGCTGGATATTATAACATGTGTTGTTAAATGTTTATGTGTGTGAATTTTCATATGAAAACAAACAGCGTGTCTGATTAGCTCGGTTTTAACTAATACTCCATCTGTTTCTTTTTAGATGTTGTAGGATGTCAACTTTTTTACAAATTAGTTGTCGTTGAAAATATTATATTCATTCTTACAATTTTATTCTTTTTAACAAATTTTATCTCTTATTATTATCTTTAATAAGATTAAGATATAAGATTATTACGCAACCTATTAAAATCGTAATTTAAAAGTTTTAAATTAAAACAACATTTAAAAAGAAACAAAGGGAGTATGGTTTTGTTTGAGGCATGTTTGTTAACCTTGTCTTGCTGAGTTGCAAATGTGTCGACCTCTGACGATCCACCTACACCTGCTAGCAGACTCATTGCACTCTAAAATTGTTAAATGATTTAAAAGTACTAAGAGAAAAAACATATTAAACCAATGAGCAAAACAGTGTTCTAGAAGTTGTTAGGCGCCCGATTGACGCATACAGCGTCTAGGCGGGGCTTAAAAATTTAGATTACATACATTATTTGGGGAATGCTACATACAACTAGGTTGACAACATAAATGAAAACATCCACTTGTATATTTTTTGTTTATAGATACTTCCAATGATGTTGTCAACGTAGTTGTACACTAGGTTGACATAGTAGTATTTTTCACATTATTTTTTATCTATTCTTACTACCTACAACATAAAAGTACTTCAACTTATAATAAATTCACACACCTAAGTTTAAGTAATAATATTAATATATTATAAAGAAAACATAACAAAATAAGGTAGTTAGTATTTAAAAAAAAAAAAAAAAAGTATTTAAAAAAAAAAAAAAAAGGTTGAAGTATTGCTGCTAAGGCCGTCTAGGAGCGCCTAGGCATACCTGGGCCCGCCTGATTTTTTCAGCCGATTTGTACAACTTGGAGGCGTTCAGGCAGTGCCTAATGCCTAAACGGCCGCCTAGACTGATTTTTAATACTGTGGTGCAAACCATAGAGAAATTTCAGGACTTGTAATTGCGACATGTGATTGAAAATGGATTTTGGTTTATATAACTAATTCTAGAGTTTTTGTCTCTAACACTTGTTTATCCTCCTACCAAAACAAAGAATGAGTGAAAAATTTCTTTTCCATCTCTTATTTATTGTCAATCCAGCCATAGAACGAGCGAAAGCTCCTTCTTTGAAGCTTGGGTGGCAGTATGATATCTCGTTGATAATTCATCAGTTAATTTTAAGTTTATAGCTAATAGTTGTTGATGGTTGAATATTAACTTTCATAATAGAAGTGTTTGATAGTTAGTTGAAAAGTGACCTGAAAAAGCCACAACAATTTATTAAGGGCGTTACTATTCACCGACCCCCATTTTACTAGTCACTGCCCCCCTTGGACAATTTTGCCCTTCTCATTTTTTCTAAACATCTCAAAGGAAAGTGTACGGTGAAATGTCTTCAAATTCGGAGGTACGAAAAAATACGTGTCCAGCCGCCGGTTCCGGACAGCTTATAGCCCGTCCGGACCGGCCGGCCGGACGGCTTAAAGACCGTCCGGAACCGGCGGCCGGACGGCTTAAAGACCGTCCGGAAAGCATG